TCATTTGCAAGATGAAGATGAGAGCAGTGAGCTGCTTTAGTCCCATGAGGATAAAATTGAATGCATGGTCAAGGAGAGACAGGCCAAAAATTCATGAACGAGAAAAGATCTGATGATGTCAGCAGCTTTTTGCTTGTACTTTATTTCCATTTTAGGATGGCTGCATTCAGCAACATAAAGATGCAAGGATATATATTATTGCAAAGAAACGTCAATGTCACTTTAAACATGTTTTAATTGGAAGAGAAGGACTTCAGAAATGCCATAAGGTAAAACTTGTTTTGTTATTTTCATGTTCTTATGTTTCTGCTTTTTTAATGAATCCTTTTTTTTTTTTTTTTTTTAACATTTCCTCTGCTGCATTTAGAGCGCCTTCCGTAACATTTATAGAAATTACTTGTTTTTTTTTCTGTACAATTTCTGTTATAAACTCACACCACTTCACTAGAAATCCCACTCCTTCTTCACACACTCAAACATGATATATAATCAAAAGCTTTCTGGAGCAGTTTGTAGATCTGCAGTGAGAGGGAAAGAGTGAGATAAGGCCTTTTCAAAGCAGCTGCAGACGTGCTCATTTCCCTGCAGTTTCATGTGGATTAGGCCACTTCAGACCAGTTCTGAACTTCACTGAGCCCCAATCAATCCTCCACAGAATGCAAACATCCAGCAAATACTTGAGTAAAAGCTTATTTGATTCAAATGGTGACTTGTCCTTATAGTGTGGCGTTACTGTGCCTCTTGTTTTTAACCATACTAAACTAATTGATGACACTCCTTTAAGTCTAGCAAAGCATTGGTGCCTACAAGAAAAATAAATGACCAACACTGGCCACAGATTTTGTTCCATTGTCTGCTGAAATTGACGAAGACGGACACTTTATTGATCCAAGAAAGAAATTTAAACATCTATTGTTATCATCTATAAAATCGTTACTGATCATCTTAATTTTGAAAAGAAGTCTTCCTTATTCCTCACACACTTAAAACCCACAAACCTATTGGCCCAAATGCTCAGAATACATTAACCTCCAAATGTAGTTCTCCAAAGAGATAAATCTGTCCACATCATGTCCCATAAAAACAAGCAATCGAACCAACAAGGGATGAAAACTCAAGGTCTTAATTTTTGTGCCGAAGCCAGAGGTCCCTGAGGGAGTTTTTTTTTTTTTGCTCATCTGAATCTTAGTTGAGTGATAAAACTGTCAACCACAGAGAAAAGACATACGATTGCTGTCGTCCATAATAGTTGCTGTAACTTTCAAAGACTGTAAAGAAGAAAGTGGAAGGAAAAAGAAAATGGAACCTTGGTCTCTGTTACGTTTCTTGTGTCTGTTTGAACCCATGTGCAGGCAGGACTCAGAGAACTCAGGATTAAAGTAAAGGTTATTTAAGAAAATTAATGAAAAGGGTTGATGTGGCAGCAAACTCACATGAACATCGAGGAGACACAGAGGAAAACAGAAAACAGCATGCCATTCAAGACAATGCCCAGTTAAGGAAGAACACCAAGACATAGACTTATATATTCAATTAAATTCAGTTCAGTTTACTTATAGCGCCAGGTCACATATAGGGATAATAATGACAACCAATGACAAACACCTGGGGAAGAGACAATCAGAAACAGATGTGAGCGCAGGAGCTAGGACTGAACACAAGATGGAGACACACTAGGGAACACACATCCTGACAGTATTCCCCTCTGGCCTCTGACGTCCCCAAAATTACGCTAACTCGGGTGAAAGGAGGGGAAAAACCAGATGGAGGGCACAAGGAAAACACAAAAGATCAAAAAAAAAAAAACACTGCACCAAAGTATCAGTTGGGCTAAAAGATATGGATGTCCACCAAAGACATCAATTTAAAGGACACGCCCAGAAAGCTGGCCCCCAGGTTCATCGTTCCTTTCCCCATAACCAAGATCATAAACCCTTCAGCTGTTTGCCTTCACTTACTTTCCTCTATGATAATTCATCCCATATTTCATGTTTCACATGTCAACCCAGTTTCTTCTAGTCAAGTCAAGTCAGATAGTCCTCTGAACCCTTCTGCCAGAGGGGGGAGTTGAACCTGCAACTTTCTGGTCCCAAGTTGACTACCCTACCTCTACCATTTTGGCCCCAAAATCCAGAACCCAGAATACTTAAGGCTGTTTGGACCAACCAGACTGAGCTGGTACATTGTCCAACCTCTGGTACTCTCGTGAAGATCTTCTTTTCCAAAGATTACGCTAACCTGTGCTTTCCTTGTGTTTCTGATGCATGCTCAATAATCCAGGTAGAAAAATTAAAAAAAGTCAAGTCTGGTCTGGACATTCAAAATTTTTTGACATTTTTGAATGTCCAGAGGACCAGACTTGACTTTTTTTTTTTTTTTTTTTTTAAACTTGTGTTCTTTGTGACTCCTGCTGTACAGTTCCTTGTTCTCTGGGTAACCTTCAAGACATTTCTTACTTCTTGCTCCCTCAGTCTCCTTGGACCCTCTTTTTGGAACTGCCACCTTACACTTCATCAATAAAGCAGCCACCAAACATCTTAGCGTTCAGCCTTAAAGTTTGTTCACTCTTCATAAATGGTAAATGGACTGTACTTATATAACTTCTTATAAGACACTTAAAGCTCTTTACACTACAATCTGTGCCTCATTTACCCATTCATACCACACACTACTATATCTGTACAAAGATAAATGAACAAATCATTCTAAAGAGATTAGTCAGTGTTTTTAGATCACATTCAAACACCGATGGGACACACATTGGAGCCAGTGAGGGGTTCAGTGTCTTGCCCAGGGTCACTTCAGCAAGTGACTGCTGGTGGAATCGAACCCCCAACTCTTGCAATGGAGGACAAGTGCTCTAACCACTCAGCCACTCATACACCACTTGCCTGGTCTCCTTGGTCTGCTCCATTTCCCTGGAATCCCCTGGTCATCAACCTTCCATCCTGTGAAAGAAAGAAGAGACAAAAAATAAAACTAATCATATTCCTGGATATTAAATAGACTGTATCATGAAATCATACTCACCCCATCCTGCAGCCCCCTCCAGTGTTCCAGTGATTCATTTATTATAAATTAACAGCTGCTTGGTCTCTCATGTCAATTACAAACTCAAAGCTCATTATTAAAATGTGATATTTATCGTAAAGCGTTTGTATGAGTAAACTTGCTGTACAATCTTGTGCAGTTTATAGATCATTTTAATATTTATTTTCTTAATGGTACTCAGGTTTACTTGAGTTCTTTGTTACAAGGCAAATTTAGCTCCAGCAGCAGCTAGCTGTAACACTTTCAGATATGCCTGGGATCAAATTCAGCAGAAATTTCAAAAATATTTCAGAAAAAATAAAAATTATATGCAAATTACAGCAAAGGTTTAAATCAATGATCCTCAACTGGTCGGATACAAATCTGTATTTATGAGTTTTTGCCTGAGGTTAAAAAAAAAAAACCTGTAAAATTGTTAATGGTCGAATGTGTGACTGAATAACTTTTAATAAGACATTGTTATAGTTTCAATATGTGGGCATGTAGTAGTGGACTTTTTATGTCTGTTTGTGCACGACAGCTGAATTTGTTAAAAGGATGAAAGTTAAAGTGAGGAGTACCAAAATGCAGCTAATTATCTGTAAAATAATAGTGATTTCTCCAAAATAGCAACTTCCTTGGTTTATCATTAACCTTTTTTTGTGTTGGCATACTGGGTGGGATGTACGTCACTGGTTTCACAACCCTGAACTGAAAGCAGGGGAAGAAAATGGATGGATGGAGGAGAAGGTGATCCCAGACAAGTTGAGAACCACTGGTTTAAACAATAGCGTTCCACGAACCTGAGCTCCAAGTTTGAAGAGAGTGTTGGTCAAATAATTATTATCAATCCATCAGATGTGAGTGTGTGGTCAGTCCAAAGATTTAAGTAACCTCCGGGGGACTGATACATTCAGCAGCCTTGCAACAAACCAAACAAATGGTGTGCAAAAATGTAGAGGTTTAATATTATAGTATGCCAAGAAAGCTCTTTCATAAACCAGGCATCTATCCATCCATCATCTTCCACTTGTTCTGAAGTCAGCTCTCAGGGGCAACTGCTTGAGCAGGGAGGTCCAGACATCTCGTTCCACAGCCACCTTTTCAAGCTCTTCAGGGAGGACTCCAAGGCATTCCTATGCCAACCAAGAGACATAGTCTCTCCAGCATGTAATGGGTCCTCCCTGGGGTCTCCTCCCAGTCGGGCATGTCCAAAGCACCTCCCTAGGGAGGAGCCCAGGAAGCATCCTTACCAGGTGCTTGAACCACCTCCTTGGTTTATCTCGATGTGGAGGAGCAGCAGATCTACTTGGAGTTTCTCCCGGATGACTGAACTTCTCACCCTATGTCTAAGCAAGTTCAGCAGAATCCCATTTGAAAATCACTTTTAGTTTAGGGTTTAATAAAAACAAAGATCCCCAAACACAAAATGATTCAAGACAAACACTTACTGATACTGAGGAGAGTGGGGAGGGTTAGAATGATTTGCGACAGTGCTCAGGTGAAAGCTGTGACGTTGTGGGTTGTCCCAACATTTCGGTAACTTGGCACGGACTGCTGCAGGTGTTTCCGCGTGTGTGCGTGCACGCGCGCGTGTATGTGCCTGTTGCCCTCTGCAGCACTTGTTCCATCGTGCCCTCCCTTTAACCAGCGGACTGTCAGTCTGCCGGTGGTCTGGACCCCGCCGGACACCGGGCTGGGTATCCGGCAGCAGAAATCTCCCTGTCCTCCTCCTCCTCCTCCTCCTCCTCCTCCTCCTCCTCCTCCTCCTCCTCCTCCTCCTTGCTGCTGCTGCAGCTCACAAGTTCGAGAGAGAAAGAGAAAGCGAGGGAGAGAGAGGCTCGTCTCCTCCCGCACCACAACAAGTCTGTTCTCCACCGACACCGACACCGGGCTCGCTCCCTCGCGCTTCATGCGGAGCCATAAATGGGCCTGACAGGATGTGAAGCCTCGCCAGAACCAGCTGAAGGATGGCTCCACCTGGCCCGTCTGCAGCCGCGCTGCTGCTCCTGCTGCTGGGCTGCTTCGTCTGGAGCTGCTCGGTCCACGCCGGTGAGTTGAACCACAGGTAGACGAGCCGTCATCACAGAACCAGCACCGGCGCCTCAGACCAGTCCGTTTGGACCGCTGCAGACTGGTGCGGCTTCAGCTGAGACACATGCATGTGATGTTTGCATGTTTGAAACTTGCACCAGCTGGTAAACAATAAGCTTTGTTAAAACCGTAAAAAAATGGCTGACATGAGATTTGATCTCACGCTGCATCAACATGGACTTTCAGCACAATTTGCATGGGCAATTATACATAATTATATATATATATATATATATATATATATATGCATATTTATATCATGCATATTTGTTTATATACATTGTAGTCTATATCACATGTGGTACATGAGGTGGAACAAAATTGTGTACACAGGGACCCAGTTACATCAAACATCCACCCATCCATTACTTTTTACCTGCTTCTTCCATTTTGGGTCACGGGGGTCGCCAGTGCCCATGTCCAGCAATCACTGTGGAGGGGCAGGGTACACCCTGGACAGGTTGCAAGTCCATCACAGGGCCTACATCAAACAATATCAAAAATATAAAGTGTTAAAAGAAACAGTAAATAAGGATCTGATATATAAACTAAGAAATACGCTAAACACTAATAGTGCAAAACAACATGCCCTATCCATCCATCCATCCATCCATCCATCCATCCATCCATCCATCCATCCATCCATCCATTATCTTTACCCGTTTATTCCATTTTGGGTCACGGGGGTCGCTGGTGCTCATGTCCAGCAATCACTGTGCGAGGGGCGGGGTACACCCTGAACAGGTCGCAAGTCCATCACAGGGACACATAGAGACAAACGAGACAAACAACCATTCACTCTCTCACTCACACCTAGGGACAATTTAGAGTTACCAATCAGCCTAACATGCATGTTTTTGGACTGTGGGAGGAAACCGGAGTACCCGGAGAAAACCCACGCATGCACGGAGAGAACATGCAAACTCCACCCAGAAAGGCCCCTGGACCGGGGTTTGAACCAGGGACCTGTTTGCTGAGAGGCAGCAGCTCTCCCAGTTGCGCCACCGTGCTGCCC